ACATTTTCATCCAACTCATTTATATAAATTACAAACAGAGGTTCCAATACTGATCCTTGTGGAACACTGCTGGTCACTGACCTCCTGTCAGGAAAACATCCCTCCACAACTACCCGCTGTCTTCTATGACAAAGCCAATTTCGTATCCAACTTAACAACTCACTATGGATCCTATGCAACTTAATCTTCTGGGCCAACCTACCACGGGTGACCTTGTCAAATGCTTTTCTAAAGTCCATACAGACAACATCCACTGCTCAACCCTTATCAATCATCTTTGTCACTTCCTAGAAAAACTCAATTAATTTGTGAGACAAGACCTGTACCAAATAAAGCAAAGCTAACTACCCTTAATAAGTCAATTATTTTCCAAATGCGAGTAAATCCTGTTCCCTAAGAATCTGCACTAATAATTTCCCTACAACTCATGCAATGTCAGTTTTCATCATAGTCACCATCAACAAAGGCAGCAAACATTCTGACAAGTAGTAATTGTTACTAAGCCTTCAATAGACAAACAGAATCTTCCAAACCATGGAGTTTCTTTGGTCTATAATCAAATTTACAATCCTCATAGTTGCTGTCAGATCTAATGCCATATCATTTCTCTGTAGGGCTTTATGAATTTTTTTTGCTTCTGACAGTGAAAGTGAAATTTCCAGAAAAAAAAAAATCAGCAGCATTGTAACGTAAATAACAGTGGCCAAGATAATAAATCACACGGGTTTAAACATGTTAGAGATATTTTACAGGGGAGCAGCAGCGCGCCAAATCTCCACTTGTATATGCCTTATATGCTAAACTTTCTGCAGACTTTGGTTTTGTAATGTCACTACCTGTCACAAAAGAATTATAATTACTATCACACATGATACAAATTCACAAGATAGATATATGATTGAAATTGGGCAAATATCAACATTTGCATCTGAATGAAGACTTCAACTGATCACATCGCCTTTGTGCTCTTGGTCCAAATTAATTTGTATTAGGATTAAAAACAGAAGTTACCAGACAAATCCAACATGTCAGTCAATCAACATCCAAGAAAGGCATTAATAATGGTTAAGATAGACTATCCTTAGAAATGTAGAAGCCCCTTTTTGAGGTCAAACAGATCAGAACAAGCCAAAAACATCCAGGGTACAAGAGATGGAGGTCAATAGTTCAAAATTACTGTCTTCTTTAATTAAAGAACTGTTAAAATATTTTAAAATACTGAAATATTTAAATTTTAAACATTTTATGGTTTTTATTTCTGATTTCCATCATTTTCAATTTTCCACACATTTTAACTGTTAGAATGTTAAATGTCTGAAGACTTGTTGTAGAATCAGTACTGATCACTATTCTGGTATATTCTGTTTATTTATATGTACTCTCTATACTTGTTCAGTCTCTAAATTCACAAAAGAATTTATGATGTTCTTGCTTTGCTGAGATTTTTGAGTAGTTTTTTTTTGAAAAGCGATGTTAATCAAGGGAGACTGGGTGGTGCAGTATAATTGCCCTTTCACCTTTAGCACCTGGGCTTGAATCGAGCTCAGACAGATGGAATGGGTCTCAAAGCTCATTGCAAATGTAGTACAAGAAAGTTTCCATCGAGTTCTTAATACAGACTGACCCAATGGCAGTAAAATGTTAGCAATTTGTATTAAACTAGTGTGTCTTATATGGCATGGTTTAAGGTAAATCAGAGAATGTGCTGATCCATGAGGATAAAGACATCCACAAGTCTAGATCCTCAGAGTATTCAGTTGCTAAAATGCAGCTGTACATAAGTCATCTGTCATTCCTTTCAAGACAGAAGATTTAATCACTATAAACATTAGCAGTTCCAAATTCCACCTATTCAAATTCTGGCACACCACTTTGACATGGAGGGTTAATAGGGGAAATGCAATATTTATTATACATTCTAGTTGACAAGAGTTTTGAGTCACCGCATGGTGTGGCACTTACACGTGCACATGGCCAGGTTGATGGGCAGGAGGAGGAATAGAAAGGTAGAGGTGGTTCAGTCCTGGGGGCTTATATCGTTAACGTGCTGGCTTAGTAGAAGAACAATTTTCCTTCTCAGTTTTTGTGAATTCAATCTGTAACCTTAAGATTTAAATTCAAATTGTGCATATACAGATTTGTGCCACAATAATGGTCCCTTGGAATTAAAGGGACATCGCTTCCATTCCATAGTGGAAGCACTGAGAAAAGATGAACAATTGTTTCTTGTACTTGAAGAGGGTGACTTCACTTGCAGCAAATGTCATAAGGGACCCAAAACATTAACTCTGATTCTCTCTATACAGATGCTGCCAGATGCTGAGAAAGCACTTTGTTTTAAAATTCAGAGGTCTGAATTTTAGGACCTGTTCTGAAGAAGGGTCACTGGATCCGAAATGTTAACTCTGCTTTCTGTCTACGGATGTTGCCGGGCCTGCTGAGATTTCCCAGCAATTTCTGTTTTTGTTTCTGATTTTGAACATCCACAGTTCTTTGCTTTTTTATGCCCTAAAAAGTTTGGCCCGGCCTGATTTTCATGTACTTTAAGCACACCTTACGGTGAGATGACGAAGCAACTTCAATGTTATTTGGAAAATACCCACATGGTGGCTCAGTGGTTAGCACTGCTGCCTCACAGCACCAGGGACCTGGGTTTGATTCCACCCTCGGGCAACTGTCTGTGTGGAGTTTGCACATTCTCCCCGTGTCTGCATGGGTTTCCTCCAGGCACTCCGGTTTCCTCCCACAGTCCAAAGATGTGCAGGTTAGGTGGATTGGCCGTGCTAAATTGCTCAGTGTCCAGGGATGTGCAGACTAGGAGGATTGGCCATTGAAATGTAGGGTTACAGGGATAGGGTAGCGGGGTGGAATGCTCTTCAGCGGGTCGGTGTGGATTTGATGGGCTGAATGGCCTGCTTCTACACTGTAGGGATCCAATTCAGTTCTTTGAGGTATGCTCATACCATCTTCTCAACAGGCAGATGATAACATGGGCTCGGGGGAAAGAAATTACTTTCTTCTAAACGAGTTCAACGCAGATAACCAAATTTGGAAACCACATAAAAGGGGAAAATCAGGGCAAATTGATCCTTCAGTGTTGGCTATATTTAACGTGGGAGCTGGAAATGCTTCAAGTTTTCCTGAAGAAGTCAAACATGTCCAACTCATGCAAAACCCTGGCTTGTGACTGATCAAGGTGGAGATGCTCAATCTGAGAGGCACCAAACACTTTGACAAGTTTTATCAAGAACATGCAGGAGGTGAAGTCAAGCTCTCAGAAAAAAAATCACAAACTTCCCAGTAGCCCATCTGCAGCCCCCCCTCCCCAATGTGGTAAGATCAGCAAATCACACATTGTAGTTATCTGCCATCTCAGGACCTACTGCACCAGTGTGGAAGCAAATCATTCTTGATCCCAAGGGGCTGCCTAAGATGATGAGCTGGTACAGCAGTTAGAAAAAAGAAAGATGAAGCTGAAGTTTAAAGATAAAACAGATAGAAATAAAGACGTCACAACTGACAAAGGAGGAGAAAAGTGGGAACTGGAGGAAGAAAAAAAAAGTGTATGAGAAAAATGATAAACATTAAATAAGAATGTTAATATGAGGAACCTCAGAGTGATCAAGTCTTTTAACCTGGGGTGGGACCAAACAGCTTCCTACCTCCAACTAAGAGACTCAGTTGCTTGTCGAAACAAGAAGATGTGGTTTATTTTACATAATCACCATCTAGTTCTAATTTCACAATAATTGAATAAGAGGAACGGATTAGTTGATAAAAATTCAAGTTTATACTGTTGAAAGTCTTGGTGAACAAGGACTAGAGAGATGCTGTGTTTAACATAGTCCACCAAACTGATCATCATTTCCAGGGAGTGGCTGCCATCAACATCAGGCACTCCAAATTCAAAAACACTGAGACACCAGATACAGGAAAGCAAATAAAATTAATTACATAGTGAATACAATGCAACAGTAAACTTTAATTTGACTTTTAGTTCAATTTCTACAATAGCAGTACACTCAACAGACAACAGCTCAAGCACATCTGATTTGCAAATTCTCCTCCGTTCCTTTAAAAGCCGACTTTTAAATTGCGTTTCACACTTTTATATTAAAACCACGAATATTTAAAGGAAAATGTGCAAGCTAATGCACATTTATAATGCTTAAGTGAAATGTATATGAACACTTCATTTAATGTGTACATAGTGTATCAAGAGAAACATAGACAATCTCAGGTGCGTGAATCAGTAACTTGGGTCTGGCGACTACCACTAAAAGCTGTTCCAAATGATTGCAGCTACCCCTCCTATGTCGCTAGTCGTTGCTGTCTTTACTCCTTTTTAGTTTGCCGGCTTCACTTCATCGTTTTACTCCATTACTTCGCCATACTTTTATTTTCTACCTTTTTTTTCCCAGTTGCGCATGTCTTCTGGTTTTCCTCTCCTTCGCCTTTCCCGGTCACACTCCTGTTCTCGTCTCTTTTTGGCTTATCAATCACTCACACTTTCTGTCTCAGGCTGTCCGCGGGCTCCTCGCAAACACAACTCAAACAGCCGAACTTTCCGATGTAATCTTCAGCTCCCAGGTTAGTTTTCCTGCAGCAACATGGGTGCTGCGATTCGCGGGACTGACTTTAACCAGCTCCCCGGCTGGAGGAGCCCCTTCCCCAGCACCAAAAACCTCTCACCCATCATTGCTAAAACGTCAGAGAACACTCCATTAATTTACAATAGCAGATGGATGATGACAAGGATGTTTTCTTTTTTAAAAAAGCTAAATCGCTCTCTTCAGAAAACCACGTGAAAACAGAAATTCCCCAAAAATTCCACAAATTCCTGCAATTTTTTCCCTGCCGATTCAGTTGCTGCTTTGAGTTGATTTCAGTGAGATCATGTAAGCGGTTATCGGTAATTACCTGGGGAGGGGGGGAAGAGTGCAGCCCCCCACAGCCGCACAGCCCTGGAGCGGGCTGACACGAAACACGGCATTTCTTACCTGGGATGGTGAGAGTGAGAACCAGCAGGGTGAAGCAGAGGCTCCCCCTTCCCGGTATACTTGCTGAACACATGTTTCCACCTAGAGACTCCGGAGAAGAATGAGCAGCGGCTCAGGAGAGAAGGCGGCGAGAGGGACTGATAAATCGCCAAGTCCCACCCACAGCAGAGGGATCAGCCCCCTCAGAACACAACTAACAAAGCTAATGTATGAGTACAACACGAAAGGAATATTGCACTGTATCCATAAAGCGCGATACGGAAAGTAGAATGCAGCATTAAAGTAAAATGAGCAAAGCGGACAGAACAAATAGACTGAAAACAAGAAATGCTGGAGATCACAGCGGGTCAGAGAGAGCAAGCTAACGTTACGAATCTAGATAACTCTTCATCAGAGCTGACTTGAAGTGTGGAGGGTACAGCATTTATGCAGTGGGAAGGAATGGAGTATAGAGTGCTGGGCGAGAAAGGATGTTGATTGTTCAGATTAAGTGAATGGAATGTGAGAAATCTAGACTAATTTGGAGTATCTAATTAATATCTGAATATAATTTGTACTATAGCTTTAAAGTCGTAAAAAGGTGTTTGGTACCGTTGCCTTCATTGAGCAATCCTTTGAGTCTAGGACTTGGGATGTCATGTTGAGGTTGTACAGGACATTGGCAAAGCCTCTTCTGGAGCACTGTGTCCAGTTCTGGTCACCCAGTTACAGGACGGATATTATCAAGCTGCAGAGGGTTCGGAAGAGATTAACCAGGATGTTGCCAGGTGTGGAAGGTTTGAGTTATAAAGAAAGGCTGGATAGGCTGGGACATTTTTCACTGGAGAGTAGGAGGTTGAGAGGCAACTTGATACAAGTTTATAAAATAATGAGAAGTATAGAAAGAGTTAATAGTAGTTATCTTTTCACTAGGATGGGGGATTTCAAGACTAGGGGCACATTTTTAAGGTGAGAGGAGAGAGATTTAAAAAGGACATGGGCATGTTTTTACACAGATGGTGGTTCACATGCAGAATGAACTTCCTGAGGATGTGGTGGATGCAGGTACAATTACAGTGTTTAAAAAACATTTGGATAGGTACACGAACAGGAAAGGTTTGGCGGGTTATGGGCCAGGAACAGGCAGGTGGAACTAGTTTAGTTTGGGATTATGTTCAGCACGGACTGGTTGGACCGAAGGGTCTGTTTCTGTGCTGTATGACTATGACTAGTAAAACATTCAAGCACTTCACAGGAGTGTATACAGAAAAAAAGCTGAACCCCACACAATACTATGACAAAATAGTACAGATGCTTGAAATCTGAAATATAAACAAGTTTGAAATATTCAGCAAGGTCAGGCACATCTATGAAGAGAAAACAGTTAATATTTCAGGGAAGGAGCTCCTTTCCCAGCATCATAGCTGAGAATCAGATTTGATGATTGCTTTGCACAGCACTTCCATCAAGTTTTCCAGAGTAACCATTAACATCCAGTCACTTTATTTCTCAGGCCCACCCATTGGATTCAACAAATTTCCAGAATAATCACTGCTCTCATTTTTTTCAGCAGCAGTGGTAGTTAATGATTCTGCTAGTGTACTGTACGTCTTTTAAAAATCCATCATTTGTTTCTCTATTTCTCCCGTTACTACATTATTTGGCCTTGTTGATTTCCCAGATTCACTACCCTCAGAAAGTTCCTCGTCTGTCTCAAATGGGCAACCCCTTAGTCTGATATTGTACCCTCTGGTCCTAGATTCTTCTACCTTTGTCTTCCTAATTGCTTACTGCACCAGACTGTCTACTTTCATTGACTGATGTACAAGGACACCCGAATCCCTTTGTACATCCACACTTGCCAACATATCACCATTTAAATAACACCCTTCCTTTATGTTTCTCACATCAAGTGTATATCTTCACATTTAATCTCATTATACCATATCTGCCATGTGTTGTCAACTCACCCATCTTGGCTAATATCAGCTTGAAGCCTCCTTGCATCCTTGTCACAACTTACATTCCCACACAGTTTGTGCCATCAGGAAGCTTGGAAGTACTGATTCCCTCATGTAGGTCATTTACATGTATCATGAATAGCTGTGGCCAAAGCACTGGTCCTTGCCTTACCCAACTAGTTACTGCTTTCCACTTGGCAAAAAAAAATTGTTTCCACTCTGTCTCCTGCCTGTCAACCAATTCTCAATCCATGCCAAATATTAGCCTCTATCCCAACTGCTTTAACTTTGCCCACAACTTTGCCCTCCTATGAGGGACTTTATCAAAAGCTTTCTGAAAGTCCAAATATACCACATCCCCTGGTTCTCCCTCAACAATTCCACCTAGTTACATCCTTGAAAACTCCAGTAGATTCATTAAGTGTGATTTTCCTTTCATAATGGCTTTCTTCAATCCCATTGCTGCTATCCAAATGTTTTATTACCATATTGTTTATTAAAGATTCTAGCATTTTTCCCATTCTTGATGTTAGGCTATTTGGTGTGTAATTATATAACCCCTCCTCACCTTTTTAAATGGTAGGGTTACATTTGCCACCCTCCAATGTATAGGAACTGCTCCAGTGTCTATAGAAGTTTGGCAGATGACAACCAACGCATCCAATATTTCCAGGGCTCCTTCCATTAGTGCTCTGGAATGTAGATTATTAGATCCTGGCATTTGTCAGCCTTTAATCACATTAATTTTCCCAATACCATTTTCTTACTAATACTGATATCCTTCAGTTTTTCCCTCTCAATTTACCTTTGGTTCCCTAATATTTCTGGGAGGTTATCTGTACCTGCTTTTGTAAATACTGAACCAAAGTATGTGTTCAATTCTTCTGCCATTTCTTCGTTCCCTATTATAAATTCCCTGGCTTTTGTCAGCAAAGATCCTACATTTGCCTTTATAAATCTTTTGCTCTTAACATAGTTATAGGAGCTTTTACGGTCAGTTCCTACATTCCTTCAATGTTACTCATACTCTAGTTTGCCCCTCTTGATCAAACTTTTTGCGCTTTTTTGCTGAATTCTAAAATCCTCAGGCTTGCTGCTTATTCTGGCAATTTTATATATCTCCCTTTTGGATCTGAAACTATCCCTAATTTCTTTTAGTTTTGTGCCAGTCAGGAATGAATAATTGTAGTAATTCATGTAATTCCATGTTCTTTAAATATGAACCATTGCCTTTCAACCATCAATTCCTTTAGTAAGGTTCTCCAATCCATCACTGATTACTCATGCCTCATACCGTCATTTCTCCTTCCTCTGTCATCAAGTCTACGAGCAACACCCTCGTCCCGTGAATGAATAAAAATAACATTCAATACGGGCACTGGTGAAAACTCTCAGGGGTTAGTAGACGCTCCAGGTTTCATCACAGTACAGGGAAGTGTCCAACACAACAGACTTATAGGCCCAAGACCTTTGCTGACTTCCAAAGGTCCCTGCTGTGATAGACACATTATTGCAGTGTGAAGAAAGCAGTGCTGGTACAATTGACTCGGTACTTCAACAATGGTAGTTTAAGCAAGACTTTCCCACTTTCATATTCCATTCACGTTGAAATAATTTACTTTTTCAAATTAAGGAGCTATTTAAGTTAAATGACAAAAAGCTTGGTCAAAGGGATAGGTTATATTGAAGCAATGAGAGTAGAGATACAGAGGATAATCCAGCATAACAATAGATCATAGAATAAAAATAGAGAATAATATATAATAACAAAAGCCAGAAATTCATATTCAATTAATACAATTCAGTAACAATACACCGGGGAGCATCAACATTGGTGAATGTAACAAACACAACAAAATACAATAAATAAGATTAAGAGCTGATTTTCCTATTAGGCAGTATTGTCATAGAGGTCACTGATCAGAAGAGCAGATCATAGCACCTGATGTTCTGCCAATTAATTTGAATGGGTAGAAGATTAAAGTCTTCAGGGATGTGGTGCCTGAACTGGCACCAGTTATACAAGTGAACAGAAATTTATCTGAAAACTTTCACTTCCATGGAGTGGTAACTGTGTGTTAACCCTCAGAGGAACAATGTGTGAATAGATTTAATTTGTGATTACTTCTAGTCCCAGACTTATAACCAAAAAGCAATACACAAACAATACTTTCTTAACTGAAATTGGAAGCACCAAATAAGTGCTTTTATACCATCATTTCTATCTCTGCATAATTTCAGTTTATCTGCAATCTTTCCAGTCTAATGTTTCTGAAATATATCCCCCTGATCCATTTCCGACTGGTTACTGAATATTTTCAGGTTTTCTACATTCTTCGTTGAAAGCATCCAACATGATACACGGAATAATCCTACCAGTTAACACAGGGAGTCCCCTCTATTTGTCGCACCGATATTTGTTGTTTTGTATATACGTCCCTATTGTATTAGGGAACAATTTGGCATTAATTCTACTGTTTCATTCTTATGTCATTATTCTGGTGAGTTGCTGAAAATTCATTCATTAATTCTTACGGGAAATAAGAAATTTTTCATTCTGTAAGTTTTCTGCAATATTTGTTTTTGAACAGCAAGGATCTCCTGTATTTATTTTAGTTCACTCAAAGGATCTGGGTGTCATTGGATTTGTCCTTAAAAAGGTGGTAGTGAGCTACCTTCTTGAACTGCTGCAGTCCATTTATTATGGGTACACTTAATGCCAAACACAGAGCAAGAATCAAGTCAATGCTTACTAGTTTATATTACTCGGTATCACAATAAGTAATACATTTAGGCACATATTTACTGAGAGTTCAAAATAGTGAGCATATGAAAGTTATAGAGTCTTGGAGTCATACAGCACTGAAACAGACCCTTTGGTCCAACAAGTCTATGCCAACCATGTTCCTCAACTAACCCAGTCCCACTTGCCTGATCCTGGCCCATATCCCTCCAATCCTTTCCTATTTATGTACTCATCCAAATGTCTTTTAAATGTTGTACCTGCATTCACCACTTCCTCTGGCAGTTCATTCCACACAATAACCACTCTCTGTGTAAAAAATGTTGCCCCTTAGTCCTTTTTAAATGATTTCTCCTCTCACCTTAAAAAATATTTTTAAAATATCCATTTGGGCACCTGGCAGCCTTCTGGACTCAA